CACATTGAGATTGCATGTAGTTAAATGTGCTATACAAATAAAATTGCCATTATATGAGGATGAATCAATTACGTAAAAGCAAACTTACAAGTTTCTATATCAGCAGAAGACAGTTTTCCTGTAGTTCCGAAGTGAATTCTGATAAATTTGCCCTGTAAAAATATAAAGTCTGTGAAAACCCTCAATCCATTGGATTCATACCCACCAAAACCCACCAAACAATTAAATTACACATCTTTCACTATTCGGTTTTCGCTGATTTAAAAACGTACAAATCTTGAGGAGTTATCGTTCCTCACAGTCTTGGCATTTCCAAAGGCTTCCAGCAGGGGATTCGCTGAAATGATTTGATCTTCCAGCGTCCCCTGAAAAACAAGACCAGCACCATGTTTGGGATTTGATATTTAATCCAGGCTTCGGATCATGAGCTGGATTCTTGTCTCACTATCGCTACCTGGATTTTTCCAGCAGAGTGATCCTTCTTGTCACCACCGGACACTGCGATTGTCGCAAAGTACTGGATGACACGCTTGGTGTTGACGGTCTTTCCTGCACCAGATTCTCCACTGTGAAGACAGAATATAATACAATTGAAGTCGGTCAATAAAAGCACTTCATTTTGTAATGTTTTGGGATATGAGGCTCGTTTTTAGCTTCCATGCTCAGACTCACGTAATCAGGACAGACTGGTTCTCACGATCTGTTGGGGAGAACATAAATATAGTCGTACTTCAGTACAAATTTGTACGAAACAGCCATGTGAACTGCTGGTTTGTCTTTAATAATCTTCTAAAAGCTCACAGAAAGTCTTTCTCTTTCTCACCTGTAAGCATATTTTGATATGCATTATCAGAAACAGAGAAAATGTGTGGCGGGGCCTCCATGCGCTTTTTCCCCCTGTAGGCTGCCACCACCTGTGGGTCATAAACTGGCAGCCACTTGTAAGGGTTCACAGTGACACAGAAGAGCCCAGAGTAGGTCTGCAGAGGAGAATATAAGTGGGACAAATCAGCGAGTCATATAGAGAGGCGAGAATGTCGTTTATTACTTACATAAATCATCCACGCCGCATAACGATCTTTGAGGTTAAACAGCACAGAGGGCTCGTTGAGGTGCGTCATCATGGCCATGTCCTCGATCTTGTCGTACTTTGGAGGATTCATGGGAAGACAATCTTCGTCCTTAACTGTTACAGTCTGTAAGAGTGGATGGAGCAGAGAAAAGCAAAATATTTTATTTTATTTTATTAGCTGCTACTGAGCTGGCCTTCGTTTGCTTCTGTTGTAGTTGTGTTTTGATTGTATGTGATTATATCTGAAAAATAGCCAAAGTTATTCTTGTGCTATTAGTCTGTGAGGTTCATTATGTTCTAATTTTTAACAAATGATATCTCTCAGTGGGCACACGTGGCATAAACTACCTCTGCCTGGTGTGTTTATGCTCTGACACAGTGGACAAACCACCCAAAGACGGCGAAATCATTTAATAAATGTGATTAAAATTTGGTATCATGTGAGAAAAAACTTCAAAGAAAAAGATTCTCTTATAACCTGGAAGAGCAGAAGAGCATTTCTGCTTTAGGTTTATCATCTAAATGC